GAAGTTAGAAAAGGCTGGTTCCATGATGTAAGTCTATGTCCATGGTTGTCATAAACCCAATCTAACACAACATTGCATATCATGCATAGCTCAGGAACAGGGCGAGCAAAACGATGAATCAAGTCATAGTACCGGCACGGATATGCCAGGCGTTTTAAAAGAAGACACAAACCTTCAAGTCCACTACAAATAGTTCCTTGAGGACATTTGAATACTTGGGGGACTCCAAGAACATCAGCTAGTAGAGGAATATCGTTCTTATCCACTCTAAAATCCGATATGCATTCGCTTGAGTCGAGAGAATCGAGGTCGAAATCATCATATTCCCAGTACGGATATTTCGGATTTACAGAACTATAAGCATCGTACAAAAGCAAAAATTCTTCTTCATCTATATATCCATCTGCAAAACTGTAAACAAGAGCATCACGAACGTTTTCAAAAGACATTTTCCAATTTTAACAAAAGTAAACAATATGGCCGCTCTATGTAGTCTGTTGCTTGTAGTGTGAGATCTTAACATCTTGTTTTTCGCGCCACTTGTTATGTACTCGACCCAGTCTTCAAACGAACTAAATACGCGTCCAAGCGTAGTCTGTAGTCCGTAGTCGTCATATCTTAAAGTCCCTATTTCTGCAAATGCTACGGTAGAATCTCAATCAAACTTCAACTTACAGGTAAGTCTCGTTTAATTTTTCAATTTTCACACACATTCCCACGTGCTACATACACCATGTGATACAGACCGTCTACTCCACTGTTTACCTACCCAAACGATACATAAACATTCTAAATAATACAAACAAAAATACTTTCTAAGGACCATTTATARTTGGAAAATATTTCAAAGAAAATTGCTATTACTTTGCTTTGGACAAGAGTGAAAATATGATTTTTTTTTTCAAAAACTCTTCTCTCAAACTGCGAGTGCGGCTTAAATCTACGGATACGGCCTATACACGATCACGAGTAAATACTATATACCGCATGCCTAATGAATTACAAAAAAAACATGAAAATTACTGTCGTTTTGTTTAAAAGATGTCAAAAACTCGCTATTCATTATATTTAAGGATATTCTATATGGATAATTATGCTAATTTATGCAAATTCGTACTCTGCACTATTCTGAAAAATTTCCACACTTTTCCGCACTACGAGAATCTCTGTTATACCCACTGTTCATCGCCACACTGTTTTTAACTAAACAAGCTTGATGATTGATGTGAATGGATTCAGGATAATTTTGTGCATTGATTCATAGATACAGCCTTTTGCAAAAATTATGAGAATTGTTGAAATATCTAAATATCATAATATCGATAATATTTTTTTTTTGGCGACAGACTTATCCGTAGTTCTGAACATTTTCTCGATGTCAACAATGAATTATTCTAGCAAACCCACGCGTTCCGGACAATATATGGATATGGATATTATGATATTTAGATATTTAGACAATTCTCATAATTTTTGCAAAAGGCTGTATGTGCTACAATATTTATAATTTACGTTCTAATCACACAGCATTATGTTATGTTATACTCAAAAAACTTATGAGGAATCGAAATTCTTCGTGACGGAAACGATCAACAGAATTTAACGATTGTGAAGTAATTCATAAACATGTGCAACGGGCTGATTGCTTTGGGGCATTTTAACCTAAATTACCATACTCTTAAGACTCGCGAGGAGCGTGTTACGAGTAAGCGAGTGACATTGGCTTGAAGTTGATCTCATTAACTAACTTTTCACTCTCTACTCGCGAATTCGCGAGCCAAGCGAGTACGCGCACTCGCGAGTGTATGGTACTTTACTCGCRGCTGGTACTGTATTGGTAAAGTTTTGTATGTGGACCCAGAAGACGGCACACTTGAGGTCGWTTTTCTTGAGGTTGCAATCTCAAAATCGAATAATATCTTCAAGAGTCCCAGAGGTGGGGACATCATATGGATAGCTTGCAAATCACTGTTAGCAGTAATCCAACCGCCTGTCCCATGCAGTACAAAGAGGCAGAAGACGTTTTCAGTAGAGAAGACTACTGTGGAGATGATCGAAAGGCTCTTTCAGACATTTGAGGATAGTAATTCTACTCAGGGGGACTGAACCATCTGAAGTAACCTCCATTACAAAGACGCGTTACCTTCTACTTTGAGCAACATTAGTTGTAATTTGATTGATTACAGTAATATATTGCGTTGATCACAAAACGCTCCATAATAACACTCTAATTTTGTAATTTGTATGTGCAATTCTTTTTTGTCAACTAGAAAGACTTAAATTACAAGAAATTTACATATCATTAAAATATAAAACCAAATTTTTTTGGCACTACTTTCACATTATCATGATTATTAGGATACATTAGATATTGTTAAATTGTATTATAGTTTATTATTAGCATTTGGGTAAATAACTATTATGATTTGAACACAAAAATGAATATACCAATAATGTTTAATGAAAGTAACCTCCGTTACCTTTTTAGGTTACCAAAATAGACAAATTGCATGGTTAAATCAGCCTTAATGAGATGATCAATGTTACTTATAATGAAATATTACATCTCACTGAGAATTAATAACATTTGCAACTGATTACCCCAGAAATCCACATCCTACCATCGAAAAATACATATGCGTTCTAAATAAGCAATATTTTGTCTATATGTGCTGTAAAAAAACTCTCATAATATTGACAATGTATTTTCCAATAGGTGCTTAAGTTTACTAACCATGTCAGTAATCATGTTTGAATCATATAGGATTGTTAAAAGTGTTTTAGTGATTATTTAGAAATTATAGGATTTTTTTAACCAATTTAAGTTATTGATATTTTTTAATGTTAACAAAATTAAAATRACCTTGCGTTCAATTTTTAGGTGTAACTTTTTTGATATTAAAGATTAYATAATGATTTTTTCGGAATCTGAAACTGGAATAATAAAACTTTTGGTGAGATGTTATTGTGTTTAAGAAATGCTTCATAGGAATTTCGTCAGTTGCCCACCCTGATTGATCACGTTCGTAGAATGGGTAAACAACGAAATCCTAAAAAAAACTCTTAAAAATGCGCCGAAAACAGCTATACAATATTCGCTTTCAGCATTATATAGAGAAATCAGTCTAATATCCCAAAATAAAATAATATATGAATGTGAAACTTACCATATCCAAGAAACACAGAAGCAGTACAACTAGCCCAAAATGGCGGGAGCAAGTGGCTAAYCAGTGTGCAATGCSCACCGACGTCGAGATCCATTCTCTCCCGACTCTGCTCCCACAGGATGACCGGTTTATTCTATAAATTTTTATGTGACTGCGAGGACTTCGAGATGGTATTTGCATGTCAAAATCAACCTTTCTTGAGGGAATTGAGAACAAAAGTGATTTCGTGTGAAAAAGCTAAATTAGATGACAAAGAGGGCTACGAAGTGATTCTAAAAGATACGATCTTGTTTCCAGAGGGTGGTGGACAGGTACACTACTAGAATTCCGTTAATTTTGTCGACATTTTCACTTACAATTTCTCTGTGTTTTTTTTTTTTTCACGAAAAAGCCTGATGATAGGGGATCGGTGAGTATTAAAAAAACTCTTGAGTCGTTATATACGCTTTAATAACYGGAAAAACAGTTAGAAGACTAATTCACTTGAGTTGGTAGTGTTATTGTGGTTACTTTCCTTTTTCCTGTGCTAAATCTGGTTGAATTTCACAAATGTTTTGGGTGCAATGCAGGCTCCCTCCCGATGATTAGGAAGATTCTGTCTGGGATACGGTATGATATTTATTGTCAATGCAAATTAGTGGAATAGGGTGAGCTCCTTCAAATTCACCACCACTTGCAAATAGTGCATGACTATATATTAAAGTGATCACAAGGTAATGGTATGCAAATCAATCTAGTGTACATGTATGGTATGGTTAGGGTTGACATCCTGACAGCACACCTGCACCATAGCTGTCAACCCCCTGACTTTTCAATTCTGGAGATTTGTGAAATCATAATTTGGGCTTCCTGTGGTGAACTACGTAAGTACATGACGTAACGGCACAAAGAGGGGGATGCATGTACAGGAAGCAAAGCTACATTTCGATATATTGAACAAAGAAAATTATAYGTACTTATAAGTATGAAATCATATTCAAAAAATAGTTTATTATTATAAGTGGTCATATCTTGGGTATGTCTTACATTAATATACATACCATATTTTACAAGTTTCATGATTATCTGGGGGATTTCAGCCTTTATCCGGGAGACCGGGAGACGAGGTTCAAATTCTGGAGACTCCCAGATAATCTGGAAGTGTTGACAGCYATGCTGCACCGTAGGTCAGAATGGTACCTCTTCCACCAATCCAGAGATATCCCTATGCATAAACAACTATAACACACAGGGAATTGTTGGAAATTGCAAATGGAAAAGTTTTTTCACCTGTTGTGCAAGCTTGCAGGCCCAGTATTTAAATTTAGACTTGTGTACATGTCTCAAAATAGAATTTAAATTTAATTATGTTTATCATATAATTATCTCTGAAATACCTATAATTCTCTCTTTCGAAAAGTTGTTCACTAGTGAGGTTTCTCTATATACTGGACAAACAACAAGGTATTTTACGACATAATTTGCTTTTTAAAATGTAATTATATGATAAACAGAATACAGATTGGAGTGTTGAAAATCTCTTCAACACTTGAAGATAAAATCTGTATCTCTACGTGCCCATGTAATATCCTCTATTTTAYACATAATATTACAAATGGATAGGGTGCATGTCCTGTGTTTTAACAATTAAAGTATATTTACATCTCTCAATACTTTTGCTTGAGATCAAACAATTGATTATTGTTTAGAGGATCTATATCTGCAGGTCTTTTTTCATGTGAAACGTTTTTTCTTTTATAAATTAAAATACATTTATAACCCTTTTCATTTAATTATTTAAGATAAATGGCATTGAAGTCCACAGAATCACAAGAAGACAGGATTTAGCTGTCCATTTTGTACTAGAACCTTTATCAATAGGAGAAGAAGTGCATTTAACCATTGATTGGACAAGAAGATTTGACCACATGCAACAGCACTCTGGTAATGTAACATTTAATAATGTTTGTTCAAAATAATCATAATCATGATGAGTATAATTTAAGGAAAACATTTAGGAAAACCTAAGTGAAAACTATCTGAGCTGCCTCTACACCGTTTTCATAAAATAATGACACTGTTTAGATGTACATAATTATATAATATGATTTGTTGTTATTTATCGTAAAATTGGGGGCCCAATATGCTGAAATCRTGTTTGTGCAGGTTCAGTTCAAAGGTTTTTATGTGATTCCAATCACTCAAAACGCCCTTTAGAAAGGTTTCCAAGATAAACCCACTTGCATTATATATATGTGATTTGTACATTATATATATACTTCAAGAGACCTGCGGTGTCCTTTTTTATTGAAATCGGTATGTATTGCATAYGGTGATATAAAATTGTCAACACAGAAATAGATTCACACTAAAAATGATTAATATTTTATATATTTTTTTGTGATATATATGTGAAGCAGGTTCACATCACTGTCCATTAATCACATGACGTCTAAAACTTTTGCTAATTTTGATCATATTTGAAATATGGCACCCTTCTTATTTGGCTGGGTATATGAAAAACATTAAAGTGCTACTTGCATGAAAATGGCCTTATATTTCAAAACTTCAAGCAATACAAATATATGACTCACATATAGATCTATTAAAAACAATTGCRGGAAAATATTTGTTTTGGAATTGTCCCACATCAGAGAAATTTTGATTCAAAAGATGGAACAACAAAAGGATGGAGTAAATGACGTCATCTACTCCAACATTTTTTTCCAAAATTATTAAGGATTTGTATAATCTGTTGCTTCATAGTTATTAGACCTATATGGATAGTTCTAATTGATTTCTGAGTCTTTTCTAATGTTTCACAATTTTCGTCCAAGTAGCCCTTTAAGAAATTCATTAAAATCCTCATGCAGATTTKACTTGATAACCACCAGCAAAATGAAAATGATTATATTAAATATGGATGTTAATTAAGTCTGTTTTTAAAGATTTGACAAGCAATCCAATAGTTGTTGGAGGTGTATGAGTTATGCAAAATTGTCACTCAATCACTTACTCGATTTTCTGTAAAATAATCTGCAGATCTGTTAATACAGCCATCACCTTTATTCATTCACTAAGAACACYGTCCTACATTTGGACTTGCTATGCTATTGTTCATCAATTTTTAATTTTGCAATAAGGAAAGAAATCTAAGAAATGACTTACAAAACTTGATTTTGAACTGCTTGACCTCTGGCTCATATGAGTCATAAACACTTAAGAACATATAGCTTCTTCCCAGCTTTCCTCACTAACTCAAAAAGCTCTATTTGTACAAAGTAGGACAATGTACTAGGGTAAGTATATAAAGGTGGTCTCACTGACTTAATGCATAATTCTTGGTAGTTATACCACTTCATGCAAAAATGGTTTTTTGTTCTTTTTACAGGTCAGCACTTAATTTCTGCTTTATTTGAAAAGGAATTTGGCCATGAAACCTTGTCCTGGTAAGTGCATCATTTCTAATTGATTCAATATATCATGGGAGATGTCTGGAAGTACAGTATCTTGAATACCTACACAAAACCAAATTTATTAAGATATATTTGGTGAAGTTGTCCTGCCCTGTGGCTTTCATATTTCAATGGATTTTCAAGTATCCCAGATCTGACATTGATATTAATTACATGCAATTCATTATAATGAGTATGTTTGCCTGGAACTTCTTGAATGCATAAACTCCATAAAATATATTTTAATTTAGCTTTCAAAAAATGTCTGCAGTTGTTTCTAGCTTTGTTATTAGGGACAATTCAGGGGGGACACTACAACAAGTAAGAACTCAAAAAATAAATCTTAACGGTCTGCATTCAAAGTGAAAAGGTATCATCACTTCAAACTAAGAAATTGTCATGGTGTTGATAATTCATTGTCGATATGTTTTTTAAGGTGTTAAGGATGCATTAGATTATTAAATTCAAAATTTCAAGTTCAATATTTYCATATTATAGATTTTTTGTTGAAGTCAGACCATTATTATCTGAACAAAGTCTGAGGCTTCATACAGATTTATGTCCACGGCATACTTGTAAACAATCTTCGAGTTGTGTCCCCATTGCCAGCTTGATTAGGCTTAGTAATATTTCAAGAACCCCAACAACCCCATTTAATCAGCCACCCACCCGCCACCCATCTTCCATAATAATGAASAGTGCCTTATTTACCTAAGGATAGGTCTCCTTATTAGCCTGAATTTTTGTTGGCCATAGATACATGTATCTTTTATTTTGACTGTGTGTACTGATGGCCATGAAGCTGTGTCTCCAGATCTTGCAATGTCTGTCTCACATATCTTCCATATTTTATGTTATTGATGTTTTTCTGTCACATGAGGCTGCAAGAGGAGGCAGCATGGCTGAGTWAATCARAGCATTGGTCCTATGATCTGATCTGTGATCTTCAAAATAGCTTTTACGCCATGCTAAGTAATATAGCCAACTTGTTCGCCTCATTGCCAGTTGGGATTCTTATCTACTTGATGTTRTTTATGATTAATATATGGTTATTTCTAATTTGACAGCAGAAGAGGATCTGAAAACTGATCTCAGTACCTATTCAAAAACTTATTTTTCAGTAAAATCACATCAGAAAACTTAATTTACAGATCATATTAAATTCTGATTTAAGAATTCAATAATTNGTGTAGAAAAAGAAACCTAAAATTATCTGTATCACATCTACCAGGCAAACTCAACATAGAAGCTGACAGAGCTAGCCGAGAATTTAATTGCAATACTGAATGGTCACTTGATTCAGCTGCCTTTCATATCTTGGCAACTAAATGGGGAATGCCTGATGTAGATATGTTTGCATCCAGACTTAACCATAAAATTGACAAATATATTGCATGGAAACCAGACCCAGGGGCAATAGCCATTGATGCGTTCACTATTGACTGGTCAGAATATAAACTGATATATTGTTTTCCCCCTTTTAGTCTAATAGGCAAAGTGTTACAAAAAATACAATCAAGCCAAACAGTGGCCATCTTGGTAGTCCCTCAATGGGAAACACAGTTCTGGTATCCACGCCTAATTCAAATGCTCCAAGATCAACCAATAAAAATCAGAAATCACAGACAAACATTAACATTACCTCACAGTCCCAAGGAAGTGCACCCGCTGTATCCCAAGCTACAACTCCTTGGTTGTCTTGTGTCAAGTCTGCCTTGACCAACCAAGGGATACATGGTCAACCTCTTGARATCYTACTACAGTCATGGAGAAAAGGAACTCACAAGCAATATCAGACATATGTTGCATCATGGGTTGAGTTCTGCAAAGATCAGAATGTCAACCAACTTCACCCTAACCTTCAACAGGTCCMGGAATTCCTGTCCCAACTGTCCAAAAGAGTTGGTTACAGTGCTGTAGGTACAGCAAGGAGTGCACTTTCTACGTTTATCACAATTGATGGTGTGAAAGTAGGAAGTCACCCTCRTGTTTCAAGGTTCATGTCGGGGCTGTTCAATATTAAGCCTGCTTTACCCAGATATGTTGAGACCTGGGATCCTCAACAAGTACTTGACTATTTAAAGACCTTCCCAGCTGAGGAAGATTTAACACTAAAAGCCCTTACACTTAAATTGGTTATGATAATGGCATTGGTATCAGCACAACGGACACAGACACTACAGATGTTATCCTTGGACAATATGTCAGTACAAACTGATGGATATTCCTTTTCAATTACCTCGTGTCTTAAACAGACATCTAGTCGAGGAGGGAAGAACAGACATTTACTTCCCATTGTTTTTCGTCGTTACATGTTGGATAAAAGACTTTGTATTGTTACTTTGTTAAACATTTACATTAAGAGAACCTCTGCTATACGAAAAAACACTCYTCAACTGCTAGTCTGCCATAGTAAACCTCATGGACCAGCGTCCAAGGACACTATATCTAGATGGTTAAAACAAACTATGAAGGCAGCTGGTATAAACATTGACATCTTCAAAAGCCATAGTACAAGAGCAGCATCTACCTCAGCAGCAAAGGCTGCAGATGTGCCCATAGAGGACATAATGGCTACTGCTGGCTGGAGATCAGATTCAGTATTTGCAAAGTTCTATCACAGACCAATAATAAGACAGAACAACTTTGCTGAAGCTGTTTTATCAAAAATTAATTGAAACTGAGATTAATATCTGCATTGATTGTATTATGRTTCATAGTACTTTGTATAGGTTCTGAATCTTATATTTATACAGTAGAGTGTAGGATCATTTTGTTCTTATTCCTACATAAATTTATAGCCATGCATTTATGCATGCTCATGTTTAGCAATCTTATTGATTTTGGGATCCTTTGGGCTTTGAAATCTCACSTGACCTCCGATTGTATGCAAATGCGAGGTAGAATTGAAAAATTAAACGAGACTTACCTGTAAGTTGAAGTTTGATTGAGATTCTACCGTAGCATTTGCAGAAATGAGGAGGTCACATCCCTCCCTACCCATACTCCCTTTGAAGATTGCTATGACCACCTCATCTTCCAAAGTCACCTCAAAATCCCTTTAAAGACTGAYCTCGGATACACTATGCTTGCTATCTCACGTGACCTCCTCATTTCTGCAAATGCTACGGTAGAATCTCAATCAAACTTCAACTTACAGGTAAGTCTCGTTTAATTTTTCAATTCTATGTGGGGAACATTGCAAATTAGAAGCATCTTTTAGCTATTGTTTTGAGTGCTTATGATTGGATAAGAGCTTTTAATACAAAAGAAACTTTGTTTCAAAATAGAGTTTATCCACATTTTATTTCAAAAATGTGTTACCCACAAATGGATACATAATCAGTGTGAAAACCAAGACATTCGTACATGGGGAACTTGCTATGNCAAAAATACAGAAAGAGCAACAATAAACTACATACATCAAAATTTTGTTGTTAAACTCTGTAAGTACCTAGTACATACCTGATGGTTGTCAGTGAGCTTTAATGAAAGGGTTAAAAGCTTGGCCAAGTGATCACCAAGATTTGGATACTGTAAAAAAAAAAAAAAAAAAAAAAAAAAAATCAAAATTATTCTTAATTATTTCCGTTATTTCCAATGGATGTAAATCAAGTTGAACATCAAGAGGAATGTCTCAACAAGGTACATGTAGTTTAATGCTTCTAACTCTTATCCTACAGTGAAGGAAATATTTCATGTGACATAAGCATGCATCTAGTGACAGTCTTTCTTTCCTGTCTATCAGATACAGGGAGAATCTACGTCACTAGCACTGACCAGTTGATGTAATATATTCATAAAGATATAATACAAAACACATAATACAATAGAACGAGAAACAATGGAGTACAATACATTTTATGAATACATTACATCAACTGCGTGCTACGTAGGTCACCCCATCAGATACACAGCTCAACATTAAGAAAAGCACACAGTTCTTGTTGTAGTCTTTAATTTTATTTTTGAATTCCCCATCACTTCCATTCTATTAGAGTTTTCAAATGTAGTAGGAGGGGACTATAGCTATTCTCCTCTAACAGCCGTTATAACAATAATATAATCCTATTTATATAGCGCCTATCCAATTCTGTTCTAAGCGCTTTAAAACTACATGACAACTACAAAAKACATGAGAGTCTTGGTAGACTGTGAGCTTGAGTTGGCGCCTCTGGCTGCCGCTGCACAGTCCGTCCCAAGATCTCAAACTAAAAATTAAAGTACAACAATCAGATTACATCACAATAAACAAGTGTTTTTGCATGATGCCCGGTGGCTTAACCAAGCTCATTCACGCTTTGACAGGTTTTGTTTTTAGTCCTGCTGGGTGTCATGCCACCCTCCTCACCAGAGTGTAGACTGGTGGGGGTGCCGGTTTAGACGCCGACGACCCGTCCATGAGGCAGGCTGTACTGGGTTACAATGTTACCAGTAGCAGACTACATGTCGGACCTGAGACTAATTCCTAGCCTAGGGGAGAGACCTGGGAACCAGCCTCATGATGGCTGCGAGAGGAGACTAGGACCTAGCCTGAGTGCAAACTATTTTAAAATATAAACCAACTGCACTCAGGCTAGGAGACTCAGAATGCTCCTCATTAATTGCCTTCTACCAAAATGGTAGAGATGGTTGTCCCTCCATTCCATCTTACCCTAGTCATGACTCCCTACCCATTCATACACTTGGATTAGAGATACTGATACCCTCCTAACAACTTGCTTTCCTACTGGGGGACCATTTCTTCTTGGTCCCCCAGCAAGAAAGCCTATTAGCAGTCTAAGGCACTGAGAAAGTGTCTTGCCTAAGGATACAACATGATCACCTTGTCTGGGAATCAAACCCATGACTGTACACCTAAAGTCCAATGCCTTAATTACTCACTACACCATCACATCTCTCTCGTTCCATTCCATTCTTCTCTTCACTTCTCTTCCATGATCCTCACCTTTACTTGGGTAATACACCAGTGTGATGTATAATGCAATGCTGGCCATGACTCAAGCCGTGTAAGTAGAATATCAAGAACATTATCTAGGAGTCCATTTTGAAAGACCTGTGACTTGCAAAGAGCATCCTTTCTATTGGGAGCCAGTAGTTGTGATGTATTTTCAACCTGACAGCCATCACATAGCAACTGCAGGATTTCTAAATGAAAACAAAGAG